AATTCCATTTCGCCTGTTCGCCGAGCTTGGCAATTTGTTTGCAAACAAATTGCCAAGCTCGGCGAACAGGCGAAATGGAATTCAGTTCACCCGAGCTACGAGAACCGATTTTCAATATTTTGTCAACAGACTTGATAAATGCAAGTAGTGCTGATCTAGCAGGTTTTCATTTCATTGAAGGTAGTAATGCCATTCTATGTGCATGCTATGAGATAATTTCTCCGCGAAGTGTAAAATGAAAGATAAAATGATATCTAACGGTTGTAGTTCCACAGTCTGTTTACCTATCTACTTCAACTACGATGGTATGGGGCTAACGTGTGATATTCGAAATTTCTCGAGCAGATGTGCTTGAAACTTTATGAGTTGGATAGATGGGACCTATAACGACCTCTGACCATTATATAGCAAATATCGTGTACTCTCGGAGTTCTTTCACGCTGTACGAGTTACGTCAACCTAATGATAAAAAGTACTGAAAAATATCCTCCATTACGTACTGAGTGAAAATTAGATGGTTGATTGCATTTTTCATTGTACTGTGGTTTGTGGGTGTTGCGTAACAACGCAAATCAAAAAGCTTCTGGCATATGACCTTCCACACAAGGGCAGAATTTGACACTCAAATCCTTCATAGTCCGTAGACTTCGACAATGATTTGCGCTGACTACCTTTCAGAATTTATCGCTGCAGACATCCACCATATTCCAATCTATAATCTCGTCGTTTTCATTCGTCCACATGCTCCTGTTTTCGGCATCTACCCTCCCGTATTAACGTTTATAAAAGTTCCCCTGTACCCCACTTGACCAGACTTCTAACCACAAAGGGGCAGGTCGCCAGTAAATCACATCAGAAGTTTAGTGTATATATATGACTAAAAGCCTCAGTATGGTCGGGAGTGCGTGTCTAGGGTTGCGGCTGGTTACGCTTCATTTGCACCTCGCGAGATGCTCCCATACGACCAATCGTCTCAAATAGCCTCTGCTGAGGAAGCCCTACTCACTGCCTTCTCGTCGTGGATGTTTCCCACCAAAGTGAGAGAACGAATAGCCGACATCCGGGGCTATAACCGGGATAGTGGACCACTGGTAGTTTACCTAGGGGAGTTGGCCTAAAGTCCTGATTCCACACCAACCATGAGGAGGGATGCGAACCACATACAACTTCCTGGTTGTGGCAGTGGTCACCGGATAGATTAGACATCGAGAAGAATTGGACACCTTGGACTAAACTAAACTGAACTTTCTGCTAATCCCTCCCAGCCTCTGAACGAGACACCAGTCTCACGTTCAGGCTTGCATTATTCTCCCGCTGCACCAGCTTTAGACGAAGCATCTACTTCACGTCTTATCTGGCAGCCTCCACAACTTGCCACAACTCTGAATGAGGTTTCATCCTCACATTCGAGTTGGTAGCCACCTCTTCCTGCCACGGTTTTGGATGGGGCACTCGCTTCGCATTGAGACCAGCAGCCTCGTGCAACGGTTACGACTTAGGACGTGACCCCCGGTTTCATGTCCAAGTCAACTCGATGCTCCTTTGTCTCGATCATCGAACGAGACTTCCGTCTCACGTTCTGGTCGAAGGATCGTTTTGCCGGCACGTTTTCGAACATAGGTGAAACTCGATCCTAAAACATTGCACAGCAATACCATTGCATCGACTAATATCACGAGTTGTACTCGGTGTTTGTTTAGCATCACTGTTCGGTACTAGAAGCGTACGCATTTGCCTATCTGCTGTTGCTACATCACGTGTTTCTCTCTTTTCATTTTCATATTCACCGAGCCACATAGGTGCCCTGGCTACTGCATTCATGGTCCAACTTATTCTGCATGAATTCTGGTTCCACATATGCCNATGCCGCCACCGACTCAGTAAGTTATCCACGAATCTAACGGCATGCCCTTTCAACCACGTGTGATTCCGGTTACCTCAGTCAACAACGTGTGTACTCTGACTCGGGCGTAGCACGTTAAGTGGTCAACCCAGAACGCAATCCTCGCTGGTATTCTGTTCCGATCCCAATCACGGAAGCGCATTTGACTCGGCATTGAGCACCTTACTCCACTGTTCCACTGCCCTCGATGCTGCCCCGACCGCGAACACTACGTACCTACTGCGAACTTTTGTGAACATCATGCACCTCAGCACAGTACCATCTTTGTGTTGCCAACCGAAAGTTGTTTCACACTTTCTAGCCGGGGGGGCTGCTGTAGCGTGGCCGATTGTATGGTGAAAGCCGGACAATAGCAGACATTCGCCAGACACCACTTTTTATCTACAACCTAAATGTTCACATTTTTGCTTCATTACCAACGCCATGTGACGTTTGTTTTAAACGAGTGAAAACTGCTGTATCCTTCAGCGAAGGGAACTTGCACTTTCCGCCTTCGCTCCGTTTTGCTCGTTATCGAGCTCGTTGGTTCTCTCGCCTTCGTGCTTTAACGTAAACGTTCGTTAACCGGTACCGGTACTTTCTCCGTGCCACGGTGCCTCAATAAACGTCTACAACCATGTCTTCTGGTTTAACCAGCTGGAACTTGGTTGTGTTGCGAGCTCGGGGTTCCCGTTCTGAAGAGCGTCACGCTCGGTCGTAGTCGACGTCTCTTCAATGTGATGAAAATCAGGATGTTGCACAAGTTTGATCAATACCTGAACGCTGCATTTTATATGGAACTGCATATTTCATTCTGCATGGCACACAGTGTATACTTCAACTAAAATACAAATCCTCAGTTTAGCCACTGAAAGCCTCAGTATAGTCGGGGGTGGGTTGTGGTTAGTCACCCTTCCTCTGCATAGCATTCCCGTGGCGTAGGTGTTTTCCCACCAAAGTAAGAGATTTTAAGGCCAATATCCGAGCTTATAACCGAGTAAGTGAACCACTGGCAGTAATTTCACTCAAGGGAGTTGACTAAAAACTCTAATTCTGAACCAACCAAGAAGAGGCGTACGAAACACACTCAAACACAACTTCTGGTTGTAGTAGTGGTCACCGGATCGATTGGACATCGAGGTATATTAGGCACCTGGGACCCCGTCTGAAGGGTAAATGATCTGATGAACTGGACACTAGCTCCCAATGGATTGCGCTCCGTTGCCTTGCGGGTCGGGCTTTGGCCAACCGAAGGCTCCGGTTGCGAATATCCCGAGAAAATTCACTTTCCTTGGCCTAGGGAGTCTGGCAGGATCCCACTCAAAAAGATTATTGTACCGTGGTTCTTTGGTAGTTTAGACTCCAATATACGTGAAAGATTATATATATGTGTATATATATGATAATACGTAGTATGTGAATGACGACAGAATTTCCCTGGAAGCACACGACCGGTTTTGTGACGAAAAAATATATATCTACTGGATCAGAAAACTGGATAACATTTATCCGAAGGTTTGCTTGAAAGACCTGATGATGTGGCTCTGTTAATTGTTATCAACCCCAAACTGATCTAGTTTCGTTGTAGATCATATGTGGGCAAATATGGGTTATATGAGAGTACAGGAGGATTTGATTTAATTTCGTAGAGGAAATTCGTTGTGTATAGATCAAATTAAGCGTGAACTGAATAGCTAGGAAGCACTGATCAACTACCCGATGACCGAGTGGGTCGCATGCTTGCGTTCTATCTGTGAGGTCCTGGGTATGATCCCCGGTTGGATCGATGCATTTACACTGCTGATGAGACCCAAGCAAGTCGAAACACTCGTACAGTGATTCCTAGTTTTGCAATTCACGCTTCATTTGCTCTATACACGACGAAATCCCTCTATGAAAGCAAAGATAGGTAAATTATTCGGCTAAACCTCGGGTATGGTTTGGTTGGCACGGTGATACAAGACACCTCGGGAAAGGGGAGCTCAAATCCTGGATTGACCCGTTGAAATAATCCACTTCTGAGTTCTCCACCCCGGTGTTTTGTGAGTGAACATTTGACTGGTTGAAGCAGTGATTGTAAATATAATCAGTAGTATGTGAATGACTGGACAAAATTTCCCTGGAAGCACACGACCGGTTTCGCGGTTCTTGCGGCTCTTCAGGCATGCGTATCCGGTAATATTTTGTCAGTTCATTCATATACTTGTACCCAGGAAGTATATTTTCGTCACAATAACCTTGTTTTCAACACCGGGTAACCATTGGATAGACAGCTCTTTCAGAACCATTCCTATATATATATATGGTGTGTGTGTGTGTGTGTGTATGAATAGGCAAACAGTGTTAGCCAGTGGAAATAAGTAATCAGTTATCATTACACACAAGTGACTGTGGATAAAAAATGAAAATATTCGGAGCATTGAACACGATTTGGAATAGTAGGATTTCAGTTTTTAACCAGTTCAAGGCTGATTGACCGAGACGAAAGCTTTATGCTTGTTATCTGTCTGTTTCGGTCAGAATCGAGCTGATTCTTCTCTTACCTCTTGATGTGCAGACATCATCAATTCGTTGGCCAATAGGGCAAACTGAAGCCGTTGTAATCTGTACAAAATGTGGACTGGAGCCATGAAATCCAACGACGCAGTTGTGGGTTTAGCGTATTCCGGATTCACAGTGGTCGCAACGTGGAAAAAGAAATTTGAACCACCACGTGAGCTGCTCTCACGTCTAGTTGCTATCGGGCTTACACCAATTTCACTGGGGAATTTCGGTGCATTGGGACGTTTCGAAGAGTCCAATGCATTGATCAATTGGAGCAATTGTCGTGGACGCAGCTTCATTTGTGGTAGATACTGAAATATACGGGTGGATCGCAAAAATTGGAATTCGTGGTTTTGACAGGGGAATTGAATCGAATAAATGTCAAGAAGAAAGCCTTGAAACTGGTGAAATATGACAATAATGAGACATGAAAGGAGCCAATTAAATGGAGACATTGTGTTCTTAGTTCACGCACGTCAATCGTCCGGTGAAACGCCTAATAAATTAAGCAAAGGTATGAAGCATAAAATTTCGGAGGTGGGCGGATGGGACAGCTTAAATGTGCCTTAAAATATTCTGCCCATCGTTCAAGACGGCGTTGCTGATCGTGAATCCGTGTAGCGTCGAACTCCTTAATTATCTCAAGTCTACTTTCCTCGGGCCCATACTCCTGATGAGGCGAAAAACCTTGTGACTACTACCAATAACCGCAGCCTTTTCCATCTCTCTACACATTCCTATCCACCACTTCCCGCGATCATTCCGCAGATTTTTAATGAGCTGGTGTTTAATGGATTTGAGTGCTTTTCGTATTTTATATCAGAAGAAATGAGCGTCCAGTAGGGTGACCGAAGTTGAAGAGATCCATCGTTTTGGTTTTGATTGTGCGCCAGAATATGTATTTGTTTTGATTGAAGATTAAATCGCTTCTTCGATCACCGTACAGTTCAAGGAGTACTTCGACTGACGGCTGAGCTAAAAGGTGATCACAGGGTTCCGCTTCGAAGGCCGGTTTACAACCATTGCTGACAATGTATTCCGAGCATCCGTTTCCAGCGGCTTTTCTATGGTTTTTACCAGATGTAAGGACAATCTGGCTCGTAGCAGAGCACAGTTCGTGTCCACGGGGAAACCATTCTAAACCAAAAACTGTCACCAAGGATCCGTGAACACCGATCGGCAATCAGGAGACATGACCCAATATCGTTGATTTACTTCCACGAGGATCATGAAAAAACTCAGTTTGACTTCGAAGTAGTGCGAATTATCGACCAAGTCCGGGCAAAACACACCAGCGAATTTCCCGATGCTTGGCACTCCTCAAACAACTCAATAAACAGGCTCATCGAACTGGATCACATGTACACGCCACTGCAACTCAAGGATCAAATGACGCAACAATAAAGGTCACGGCATGACCTGAGAACGGACCAAAACCGCAATCAGGACGGAAGGGCAACCTCCTTCCCTCACACCTGTTCAACAGCGAACCAAGTCGAACACAGTGAGAACAAGGGACGAAAACAGTCAGTGGAAAAGAACACATATAAACGAACGGATACAGGCAGAAAATTGCCACTTCACAAGCACTGGTGATGAAACGTTTGGAAACAAATTGCCAGGCTTGGCGAACAGGCAAAATGAAATTCACCCGAGCTACGAGAACCGATTCTCAATATTTTGTCAACATTCTAAACCATTTTGAAAAACGGATAACCTCTTAACACACCTTTGTTCTACAGTTCAGTTCCAAATCAAAAACAACAAGAAAAAATTGCGTGAAAGGTTACGCAGATTGTTATACAAATCGTGGACTGGTGTGCGCAATAATTTATAACTACCTGAAGATTGTCAGTCTATTCACTCTAAGCACACTTTGAACTGTACGCATTGTACGTTTGATACCATCACATGTAAAAACAACAACGAACCAAATAATGGTTGGTGTCACAATTGAGTTAAAGCGAGAACATAAATTTAAACTAAACAGTGTACGAGAAAATTAACTTACTACTCTACTTTGACATTCACTGCTATCTATGTACGAACCGGTTTACTGCATGTTCCCTTTATTTATGTATTTGCTCCGTTTCTACAGTGGATAACACTAAGGCATGCAATTCAGACGTGATTATTTGTAATAATAAACGTTTACTCACCTTTATATTGAATATACAAGGATACCAAGATGCTGTGGGTGGCCGAAAGTACACAATTCGGAAATTCGGGTAGCACTTATGGGATTTGAACAATGTGGTGGATGTTTATTCATGAAAGCACTACATCAGTATAATAATGTACCAGCATGTGACAGCATTCAAGACGGTTCTATAAAGCACGCTTTCTATAGTTTACACACTTAGCACAAATACCAAATGCAACCAATAATAATGATCATCAAATTTTATTCAAACTCCACAAAGGTGTGCGTGTGTGTAGAGCTGTCCGTGAAATTAACGAATACCGAGGAAGCGCAATATAAACTTACCGACCGCAGTTCCGACAGCGTGCGTGAGTTGAGATAGTTGGGAAGAACCGTCGCCAAACGTCCAGCCCGAAAAGCGTGATAGAGCAAGACGTACATGCAGCCTAATAAGTAACACATCAGCTCATTTCGTAACGGATGAATGGCCCATTCAGGGACGCCACTGAGTTCGAGCGGAGTTGCTGTGCCGGAACAACGCATCGCACTGTCCTCGCCAGTGGCCGGTCCGGGTGGATTGGATGCTGCACGGTTTGCCTGGTCACCTTCCGGTCCAAAAACATTGTGAACGCTTGATGCGTGAGCCCAAAAATGAAGTTGATGAATTATAATTAGGATATGAAGCTATATAACTTTAGAATAGCATGATTTCGTGAGATAAACTACGGAAAATCATTGGGAAGATGCATAAAACTTCACTTGAACCTTTGATATCAAATCATGCCTTGAGGGTTTTGTTGTGCCAAACTAGACAGCACATAAACCTAATTTCGGTACTTCGTTTTACCAATTGATTACATGTGAGCAAGGATGGGTGATTTGAAGCAGCACACGACAACCCCCGTGACAGGAGTATGACATCATTAGCATATTTTTATTGAGTATATTTGGTGTGATTGACGAGTGTGTGTGGTTATCGGAGGGAATGAATAGACGGGGCTTGCAGCAATAAGAGTTTCAGTGTTCTTCCTATGCCAATAAGTACTTAATATAAATAAGCTAAAAATATATACACATATATACTTATCTAAACTATAAAATGATCAGTTACGTGAATTATCTTTTCACCTTCGAAGACCTAAACAGTTCCACGCCAAACAAAAAATCATTTCGCATTTTATTTATCAATGTGTTTTTGCTATTCTTCTTAATTGTTCGCCGGGTAATTTTTGCTAGACTACTTAAGAAAGGCCAGAATTCTTCGTTACGGCTTGTCGATTATCAGTCGTGTGTCTTGTATGCCCGTTGATGATCTATCTAAAAAAATGTGTGAAC